CTATAAAAAAAATATAACTATGATAACTGAATGAAACTCTGCTTTTCAACTCTTTTTCGTTTCAGTAATTATAATTCAAAGAAACTATTCCATCCTCTACACGTATATTATTTATTTCAAACAAACAGAGCGCATGCGAGCGTAATCATGTTCGTGACATGCACAGAAATATTTGCGAAATGAATCGCCAATGACATAACCACTAATTTTAACCACGAACCTGTAGAAAAATTTCCTGTGAAATATGAAGTACTTCAGAAAGAAATGTCAAATCTATGCAAAGGAAGAAAATTACAAGTGAAATGGCGAATGTTGAAAATTAATTAATTCTTTACATGTTTCACATTCGAACGTGACGACTTTGTTCGTGTGGCATTTAAATTTGCTCTAAAGAGTCGGCAAATATTCGTGCATCATTTAATTGTAAGGTATAATATTTAAAAAACGTTATTGTTCATTTGTAAAATTTATACCGCAACGTTTCTTTAAACACAGACAATTTTTCAACTTGAGTAAAACTATAAAATACAATTCTTTCATATGAAACAAATCTTTGATGTACTGATAATGACGCGCGTTGTACATAAACTGACCAGATTTTCTCAAGGTAAATTCAGTAGATTTTTAAAACGTAACAATAGTTTAAAAGATTCGTAAAGAAACTTGTACTCTATACTTTTTGAAGAACTGTGTTAAATCGATAAATTAAAATATTTTTTGGATCAACTAATGCGCCCCTCATCTTCAAATTGAATTTCTCGAATTAACAAATTCCCCTCATTTAGAATCTTCAAAATTAATTTTTCTAATTAACAAATTCACCTCATTTAGAATCTTCAAATTTAATTTCTCGAATCAACTAATGCCCTTCGTTCCGAATCTTTAAATTTAATTTCTTTAATTAACTAATGCTCTTTGTTCCAACTCATCTTCAAATTGAATTTCTCGAATTAACAAATTCCCCTCATTTAGAATCTTCAAAATTAATTTTTCTAATTAACAAATTCACCTCATTTAGAATCTTCAAATTTAATTTCTCGAATCAACTAATGCCCTTCGTTCCGAATCTTTAAATTTAATTTCTTTAATTAACTAATGCTCTTCGTTCCGAATCTTTAAATTTAATTTTTTTAAATTAACTAATGCTCTTCGTTCCGAATCTTCAAATTGAATTTTGTGGATAATACCCTGTGTATAATACCCTTCATTTATAATCTTCAAATTGAATTTTGTGAGTCGACTAATACCCCTAATTTAGAATCTTCAAATTCAACATTAAACCATTAATCACACCGATACAAAGACAAAGTACAACTAAATTGATTAGCATCAATTACCAAACGCCGTTAATTACTTTCACCAAAATTTCCACAAATCGTATAGGTACAAATTTATCGGCGTTCGGCTAAATAAATCTACATACATTTCCGTAACTTTCAGTATCAACGATTTAACCAATTAAAAACTCGACCGAGCGCGGGGGAACAACTCTCTAGCAGCAGCAATTTCTCGATTGTACCTGGCTCGGAAATTCCTGTTGAAAATTAATCGAAGCGAGAGTTTCAATTCCATTTGCGTGACTGATACTCGAGAATAGAACAATGGAGGGGAAATATCTCGACAATTGCCTGTCGATCGAGGCAAATGACGACGCGTACAAAGAGAAGACGAGGATAGCCGAAGTCGCGACCGCGACATTATGCAGATTGAACGGCATAATGAAACAGATGAAAGATAGGCGAGACGAACGTGCGAAATTAACGTCAAACATGTGGCGTCTGAAGCTAGCATTGTGCGTAGCTGGTAAAGAAACCGAGGACACTTTGCACGCAGATCCGTTGATCGAGCGTCAAAGAGGTGAGATCAAACGTTTAGAATTGGCCAATCGGACGTTAAAGAAGGAGATAGCAGACGTTAAAGCTTCTCTGCCGGAAGTAGGAGGTTACGTTGCACGGGACACAACTTGGAAACACGACGACAAGCTTGCGCAGGTTAAGCAAGAGTACCTGGCAGAGAGGGAACATTTGAACAACGAGATTCAGTACCTGAAAAGTCAGTTGAACGAGACCAAGGAGGGTCACGAGCACAGTTCCGAAGTGGAGCACTTGAAATGCAAGTTGAAGCACTTCATGATGGTCGACCACACTATGGAAATTATATTTACCGATATAGTTAACAAAGTCGCCGAGACAATAGCGAATTTGTCCGAGGAGTTGGTGAACGTAAACGAATGCTTGCATAGATCTCGGCTGAAAAACACCAGCCTGTACATAGAGATCGACAAGCTGAAAGCGATGCAACGCTCGAGATGCGGCAATCTCGTGGATTATCAGAAGAGGATCGCCGAGTTAGAGAATCTAACGAAACGTTTGAAAATGGAGTTGAACAAATTGAAAGTGAATTACAGTAACAGCTC